GGTGAGAGTTCAAACGCAAATGTATTTAAGTTTTATAATTTGAACAATATTAATTCTCGAAATATAACTGGAAATATGCTCGTAAAAGCTCGTAAGTGTTTAAAGATGGTTTGTATTTTTTTTTTTATTTAGAGATATTTGCATAGTTTTTGTAAATTTCAGCGTTGGAATGTAATTAAATAAGCACTACGTGAACTGCCGAAAAAGTATTCTTGAAAATGCAGAAGTGTTATAATGCAAAACGTTTTTTTAAACTGCAACTATTTAAAATTTGCAGTTTCATTATTGCTTGTAGCAACTTTGAAATTTTTGCAATCGTTTTTTTTCTGTCGTTTAACATTCTTTAAGTTAGAAGCACCGATGCAAACTATATTTTTAAAACTACATACTCAAACTCTCAAAAATTTCCCCAACAAAAATGTAAAGTTTTTAACTTCTTTTAATCAGTTAACATTTAAAAATGAATTTTATTTTTGCAGTGTACACCGTACACGTTTAATTTATTCAAAATTTCATTAAATATTTTTTTAAGTATTTTTCACTTTGTTTTTACTTAATGAAGATGATTTATCATTACAGTGAACACTTAACAAGAAACGAAGAGAATAAAGAAAAATTTGTATACATATAACGTATAACACATAGAAGATGAAAAGTATAACAAACATCCGCATATTTAACACTTTGCAGATTTAAATGTGCGCAACAGAATACGTAAAGCATACAATTATTTTCAGCTTTATGGTTTGTTAATTATATTTTCATGTATTTTAGATAGAGTATGAATTAGAGTCCGGAATTTTTATATACTTATTAGGTTTTTTATATGAAAAATATTGTTATCAACATTTTAAGGTTACAGGTAGAAAAGAACAAAAACATTTTAAAATTATACGTAATTTTGCATCTTATAAATTTTAAATAACTACAGAAAAATATTAAAATATTGTTATTTAAATGGAAAATTTTCTCATATCGCGCATATGATACAAAACTAATTTCATTGTATTTTCTAAATTGCTATACAGTTTTAAAAAGAACAATGGCGTTAATAACCTTTAAAAATAACGTTTTTCATATTTAAATGTAAAAAAAAAGCAAAATAAAATCATAGCATTAAGGAAAGAAAAATTTTCTAACAAGATTTAGATTTTCATCTTGTGTTATACAAGAATTGAAGATTTAAAATATTTTTATAATTACAACTTTTTACAATTATATTCCGAAAGCACAACATTAAATTTATACGATAAGTTCCCGATTCTCTTTTATCAATTAATTTTAATTATAAAGTAATTAAAAATCACAAAATCAACATTTTTTTAAAATATTTTTTGAAAAATGCACAATTTTGTATCGTTTATGACAAGGTTAAATTAAAATATTTAATAGGCAAACTGTTTATGAACCTAAGTAAACAACTATTAATATTATTAACGTCAAAAAAAGTGAATTTGACATTCCCACGCAAATCAAAATGCATAATTTTTAGCATGCCATTGCCTGCATTAATGAATGAATTAGTGCAAACTTAAATATTTTTCATTATTTTATAACTCCTCAAAATCTTTGAAATTTCTAAAATTAAAAAGTAGAAGCAATGCATATTGGCTTTTCGCAGTGAAAAAAGCCAATATGAATTGAAAAAATTTCTTTTCCCTTTTTTTCGACTGAAATGAAAAAAAGGAAGAGTTCTAACAATTTATTGTTCCTTGCATTTAGAGAGGTTTTGCTAGATTAAAGAAATCAGATACCAAACTTCCTGAATTACTTACTGTTACAATTCAGATCTATTAAAAAAGCATTTTAGACTAAGAGGTTTTTGGTATTAATCGAACTTCTACATTATTAACTCAGAAATCAGTTTTCAGAACATCAAAAGGTTGAAGATTTAGTGAATTTCAAAATGTTAATTTGTTTGGGCGTACTTACCTCAAGTTTCGTGACTCTGGTAGTTTTCCGGAACTGTTAAAATACATGCACTGGTATAAATTTAAAGCAAAAATTTATGGTAATAGAAATTCTTTGTTGATACCGTAAACATAATAAGTACCTTGAAACTATCAAATTTAGTTTGATATTTTTGAATTTTATTGCAAATTAAATTTTAAAATTATTTATTGTTCCAATCATCGAATAAATGATATATCAATTTCAAATAGTTAAAATCACTAAGTTTTTATAATATCAACTTTTGAATAAATAACAATGTAAACGGTTCAGCCATCTATATATTTTTACATCAAATATGTACATGTAGGAGTAATAGCTACATATGTAAGTATTGGTCAACGTGATAAATTCATGTTACATAATATAAACTGTTAAAAGCTTTGTTATGACATCGAAGATCAGAGAGATCATTTCCAAAAATATATAATATTTCATTTTCATTCTTAATGTTAAATCAAAACAGCAACCACATTTAATAAATTCATTAAATTATTCAATCTTTGTGCTGATTTATTTCATGCATCTAAACGACTTTTATTAAATTACAAGTTTGATAAAGACTTTTGATATTTTGCAAAAAAGAAAGGACGTGTTAAGATACGTATACATATATTTAAATTCCAGGTGAAATTCCTAGGTTATTTAAAGATGATTTTGAAAACAAACACAAACTTAGAAAACAAATTCAAAACAGAATTAAACACTTACGAGTACAAATTCAGAATAAAAAATAAACGAACTGGGTAAGCTTTTAGTATTGTTCTAACACCTTTGAAAAATAGTATTATTTTATCACTTTTTGAACAAGCTGTGTGACGTGAAATCTGAAGAAATATCCATTTATCAATATCCATTTGGAATGGCGAACATTGAAGGACACATTTTGGTGCACTCTGCTAAAAGTATTTCATCAAATTACAAAGATTACTTTATCATTTTAAATAAAAGGTACCTATAAACAAATTTGCAAATTTTTCTACCTTTTTTTTCAAATTTTCAAACGAAACGCACCCATTACAATATGGGTTTTTTGTTTTAAAACCATGTGGTACTCGTACTATATTGAATGATATTATATATATATATGTATGTATATATGTAAAAATTCATTGCAATAGCAACCCATTCGACTTTATTCGAAATTTGAAAGAACTTTAATAATTTATGTATATATGTGATTATATGTATGTACATATATGCATATGTACAAAATGAATAAAATTTTTATATTTTAATACAAAAATGATAATTTATTTTTATTTTAAAATCGATTCACATTTAATTATTAATCTTGTTATTGCTTTTGCGGTTGTTTTTCACCCACGATAAACCACTTTTTTGATTGTGCAAAAAATATGTCGAATTCTTCTTTTTTCATAAACAAAAATAATTCCATTTTGATATTTTAAAACTTGAAGATGTTAAAAATCTACGATTATTATGATTGTTAACTGTGATTATTATGTAATAATGTTACTATTTTCTGGCTTAAAAATGTATGTAGGTTGAATTTGTTTCAATACAAAAATAATATATTACCTGGTATTACGTGTATTACTAATATAGACTGACCAGAACGTTCTTAATAATTTTTCAGGCAATTGAAAACGTTCTAAAATAAATAAATTTAAATTTTTAGTACAATACAACATTTTTTATATGTTGAAAATTTTTTAGTTGTGTATGACCAAATATGTCCGAACAATTACATAATTTTTATTTTAATTATAAGAATAATATAAGAATTATTTTCTTTAATGTTGCGATTGACTTCGTTTTTTTGCAATATACTATTACTAGAAACATGAGAGAATTTAACCAGTATAACAGTGGTTTTTAAAAAATTTTATATGTAAGTATTAAAAAATTATTGGTGCATAACGTTTGCAAAATACATACATGAAATTATTAAGGCACATGTTGCAATTGTATAGTCTTGAATATATTAAAAAATGGATTAAAAAAATTTTACACTTTCAAATTGATTACTTCTGATCCGATCCATATTTAAACAAAAACAACTTGATAGTAGATAAATAATCACAAGTCACAATATTACAAGTCACTTAAAAAGAAACCTCATTTCTACACAATGACGAAACTTTGTTTTTACATTCTTATTATAACTTTACAAATTTTAGAAACATACATATAAGATTTAAATAATAATTCAATTAATATCAGTCGGTAAACAAACAAAATTTTAATGAAATAACTTTAATGTTATTAAAGAATATCACTGAACACTATTAAGCATATTGCAAGATATCAAATTAAAAAGTAATCAGCACTGAATTAAAATAAATAAAAGATTGGTTAATATTAAGATTAATAAGTAATTGGTTAATTGATTAAGATTAAAAATTTTAATAAACTAAATTTTTTGAACAATCCTATTAGGTTTAAATTTTGTGGAATTTTTAGATTCTGAAAATAGTGCATTCATTCACTATGATATTTTTCACAAATGCTTTTTCTCTAGCTAACCACCAAAATACAACTAGTTCTCGAAATTTAGCAATAAAAAATTAATTAAAAAAATGTTTTTTCATAATTTCTCTTATTTTAAATTTAAACTATAAATTTCATTATGACCAGGAGTCATTGCAATATTAGAGTCATTTGTTTTTAAATTTTCTCATATTAGTTCTTTTTAAATTTTTTTCCAAAATCTTTTGCTCAAATTTTTTGTTTAATTTTCATGAGAGCAATTGTTGAATGTAATTTGCTTTATTCAAATAAATCTTTAAATCTTTAGTGTAGCATTTAGTAAAAAAAACATTTAACTATTTATTTCCAATCATTTGTGCCAAAATTGATTTTGACTTTGCATTATTAAAAAAATTAAAAAATTTTTTAAAATATTTTTATTAATTCTTTTCGCTTTTTTTTCTCTCTATTCTTTAGTTTTTTTTATCTTATGTGCTATATTTATTTACATTACACTTTTATACGCTGTCGAGAACATAGACGTCATAGAAAAAAATATAACTCTCGCTTATAATTTAATTTAAAAAAATAATAAATTATCATTTAAAATTCGCACTCTAACAAAATCAACTTTTTAGCACACTATTTTGATTAAATTTTTATTAAAAAAAATATCACTTAGTTTTAAATTTTATCTTTCATTTCTTTTTTTTTTATTTAATTATTTTTTTTTATAGCGATAAATAACTCTTCTAATTTTTCTATAGTTTAATCCATTATCTGAATAATCGCCTTGGGGCTTATCATAATGATAACCATCACTTGTTATTGTTGTTGCTGCTGTGTTTGGGACAGGATTAAAAGGTATTGATGGTTTATCATAATGATATCCATCACTTGTTAATTTACCGGAAGATATGTGTGTGGTTACTGTTTGTTGATTTGACTTGACTTGCGGTTTATCATAACTATATCCGCTACTTATTAAAGTACCAGATCCAGATGACGTATGGCTCAAAACTGGATTAAAAGGTATTGCTGGTTTATCATAATGATATCCATCACTAGTTAGTATGCCAGATCCAGTAGAAACATGTTTTGGAGTAGGGGTAATTTGCGGTGCCGGTGGATTAAATGGAACGGAAGGCTTATCATAATGATATCCATCTGTTTTTAAAGTACCAGATGATTCTTTTTGTGAAACTGAATTAAAGGGAATTGTAGGTTTTTCATAATTATATCCAGTTTTAGTATTAGAATGATGCGTCTCCGGTTGTGGTGGATTAGGTGGTGGACTTGTAATAATTGTTTTTTTCGGTGGAGTATAAGCATAAGGATCTGGTGGTGGACCAAATGATTTCTGCGCTGATGGTTCCGGTTGCGATGGTTGAACGTAAGCTTGTTTATATCGTACACCTTCGCGTTGTGCCGATATTGTTCGTCCAGCTAATGGGGAAATATAATTTTCTTGAGAATTGATAGCTTCCGGAGCAAAATAGCGCGGTTGTGCTGCAGCTATTGGAGGAATATAATTCCTTGGTAAAAATTCTCTTACTGGTGCAATAAATCTTGGAGTTGAAAATGAAGGAATATTAATAACTCGCGGTGGAGGACTGTATTGGTACCCGGAGTTGTGTACTGGGGAACTATATTGATATCCAGAATATTGTACAGGCGAACTATATTGATATCCAGATTGGTGCGATGGCGAACTGTATTGATATCCTGGCGTTACATAACTTCTTTGTGGCTGTGTGTATGATACTATTGTTGGTGCCGTACTATATTGACACGCTGTACATTTTCGACTATATTGATATCCACTGGATCTTAGATGTGAAACATCTCCAAGTGCTATTCCAAGAATGCACAAAATAATGAAAAAGTGATTCTAAATTAAAAAAAAAAACAATTACAAAACGGAAAAGTAATAATCCAAAAATGCAATGAAAAGAGAAAAACAAAATTAATTTACATACCATTCGGTTAGATCTTTCCTAAACCTAAAGAAAATGGTAAATAACATAATAAGCAAAAACAAGTAACTATTTATACCAAGAAACACCTACAAAGACGTTTGTTTTACTGTTGTGATTAATTATTTTTACAATGGTTGTATGTCTTATACAGCGAAAAATTTTAATCAAAGCTTTTATTTACGCAAAAGCTTCTAAACGAAATTATTAATTTCTATCTTACCTCACAATGTGTTAGCAACATCTTGATTTAGTTTAAAGTACGATTTTTTTACCTTTAGAAAATTATACACCTATATGGCATTTCATCAAAATTAACCCTTTAAAAAATAAATCAAGACAAAACTTTGAAGTTAATCAAAGTAATAGAGAGTTTGGTACTACTTTGAAGGCGTCCTTGTTTTATCATGTTCTTCACACGTACAACCTTATCTTTTTCCATTCCCCTTAAAAAAAGATTTGCTAATGTACATTACTGGCAGGAACGTTGCGTATTATTTCATTTTTATATGAACTTTAAAAATTGTTCGCTCGCAAGCAAAATCCTCAAGATTGTTTTTTCCAACACAAATTCTTCGTCTGGATAAGTTTAAAACGACATTTACTTATTATATAGTTTTTATATTTTTTGACTTCATTTTTACAGCTGGTCATCCTACAGTTAGCGTGAATGAAATAACACATTTTCATTATACAGTCAGTAATCCCAATACGAAATGCTTGGTATGAATGAATTTGACAAATAAATTTTAAATTTATTTGAGCACATTAAAACTGAAAAGAGTATTATTCTTTATACGTTCATACATAAGTTTATGTTAACATACATGTGCAACATAATAAATAAGTTTAGAAAAACATCAAAGCTCTGCAAATTTTTTCTACAAAAAGCTTTATAGATTCTTGCTATTAATAATTTGGTATGGTAGAAAAAAATTAAAGCATCTTTGCTTGCTAGTGAGTAAAAAGAAAATTTACTTTTTGTATATATTTATTTATATTTGTAATATTGTTTGTTAAATAATAAGATATTTTTTAAAGTTTAAGGTCAGACATCAAAATTAATATGGCGATTGTTTAATAGTCTTGTCTTCGTAGTCGATTGTACCATGTAAGTAGTTTTTGTGTAGCTTTAATTGAAATGATGAAAAAATATAAGTATGTTGAGTAAATTGGCGTCATTTTGGTCCCATAATTTCTTAACTATACGTTAATATGAAGATCATAATCAATATTTCTTTCAGTCTTTCAGGTTAAATAAATAAATGGTTAGTTATGTAATAATATGCAAGTCGTTTGTAATAACACAACGATTTCCGCAAGAGCGTGAATGTGAAAAGTGAATTAAATTTATTTACACATTAACCATCCAGAAACCATTAACGATAGAGAAAAATTGTAATCGTCACTTTTTTAGTGAAAACATTGTCATATATGTATATAAAAGGAATCCAAATTTTCAATGTTATACGTATTCGTTTTAGCAATAATTATTTATTTCTTAATTATTTATATCTAAGGTATTGATTTTTGTTATTTTTACAATTCCAATTTTAATTCGGAACAAATTACATTTTTTACTTACATATGTACATATTATGGAACTTCAATTTCTGACAAAAAGTAATGAGCATAAAGAAATTATGAACATAACTTCTTTCTGATATAATCAAAACGCAGTCTCTATGCACGATTTCCATGATTATGCCTTTAGCAATATTATCAACGCTTCAAAAAAATAAAAATATTTACTAATATTTCAGTTCGCAATTCAAAAAATATCTTTATAATAAAAACATTCGGTCAAAAATCGAATCGTAAAATACAACATTATATGAGCAGTCTAAGTTTTTGTGATGTAAATATTATTTTTTTATTATTAATACAAATAATTGCTGTAATATTTTTTCCTTAACATTGTTCAATTTTTCTATAAAAAAATATAATTTGCATTTTTAGTCTATTTGTAAGGTGGCATATTAATGTAGCATAACATTTTTTAATCAAAAGAAAAATTCTTTTGTGCAAGTGTTTTAAAATGAAAGATAATTTGTACATGTACATATGTATATGTTTATCACACATAAAAGGCATAATACAAATTTAAGACATAATCTCTATAGTACAATTTTTACCCACCGCATTGCATACAATAATGGAGGTTATGTGATAGCAACAAATTTTAGATATCGAGTTTAAAGTTTGTTTTGGCTTTGTAAGTGGAATTTTTTGCGGGCTAATTTTAGATTTTTACTCAAATAAAGAGAAATAATCCACCGATTTCATTGAAATTTAATATTTAAATTTGGAGTGTTAAAACAATTAATCCATAAATTTTTTGGAACGATCAGGGCTCGTAAACCAAACTAGGACCCAATTTTAAATGTTTTACCATATCTACGGAACGGATTGATGCAATTTCTTGTTATTTGAGCTATGGTTGTTACCGAAACTAACTGGAACTTTTCTGGGAATTCGGATGGCACAAATCGAAAGAGCCAAGTTTACTTTTTTCTGGGTATGTTATAATTAAAAGCTTATTAATGCCCTGAAAATTGGAAAAAAGTATTAAAGTTCATTTTTATAATCTTCTGTAACACTTTCACTTAACTAGACAATGCATACTGCGGTCGGTTATGTGCTGATCATATCAGATTTTTTTAAATTATTCTTGCTATACTTATGTATATAATAATATGTCGACCTTGGTGCATAATGCAATGGTTAATTGCGTTAAATTAAAAAAAAATGCCGAAAAACTATTTAATTAGTGCTTAATGACACATTTGTTATTTTACAGTTATCAAAATATTTTATTAAATTTTCCTTACATTAATCATATTAAGTATTTGACATTGTATTTTAAAATAATAAAATTCATCTTTAACGAAAGAATTAATTTTTAATGAAGATAAACTTTATTAATTGATAAACTTTAATAATTTCATATTAAATTATTGCCATTAAATCAGTTTATATGTACTTGCTAACGAATTTCTTTTGTTCTGCATTTTGAACATCATCCTTATTAGTGTATAATAAATAATTTTAAATTAATTCTTAAAAAATTAAGTAACATTGAAATTATGTGTCAAAATTCTTATATTTTGTTATTCTATTGTTATTAACACTTAATGTACATAGTACTCGTATATTAAAATTATTTTTTATATATTTCATTTGACTTTTGAATGACCCGGTATTTTAGTTTTAAATAGGTCGAATCATTAAGTCTGTTGTTAACATTTCCTGTAATTTTTTAAATTTATTAAAGTATGAGTGGAGTGAAATATTAAAGTATGATTAAGTATTAAACAATTAAATACAATTTTAATTTCCTTTAAAACAATAATTACTCAAAAGAATTTCTTTAGTATACCTTTAAGAATTTATTAAATTACATTAAGAAATTTAAAATTATTTTTTTGACATCATGGTTATACAAATGTAAATTTAATGACGTTTTAAAAACTGAAGCACTATAACAGTTTTATTTTTCGAATTTTGATTCAAAGTATTAGCCCTTATAAAGCTGAAGATATACTGAAACTCAACACTTCACAACTCACACTTCAGATGGCATAAACCTGAACATCGACCCCCAAAGAATATGCTCAATTACAACCTTCTACGCTGGGCAAAATCTACGCAAACAATACTCCCATATTATTTCATAACGAAAACCCACGAAAAGATCCAGTAATAATTGCGCAATAACTGACTTCCTTCTACTGGAACATAAAATCTTCGTTGTTTTTTTAAAGGATGCACCTTAATGAATTTCGTTTTCGCTTCGTTCCCAATTTTACTTATACTCATGAATTGAATTTTTTTTTATAAATATGTGCTAAATTTTGGCAAGAGTATTTTTTCCCAATAAAGTTATTTGCATTGAATTCTCTAGATTTTTTTCAAAAAAACTTCGAAAAAAACGTATTTAAAGTAGATTCCATTTGCGTTTTTTTGATAAAATAATTTAGGAAATATTAACAATTTATTACTTACTGTGTTAATGAATATTTTTTTTAATGTTTAAGTAATACGAGAACAAAAACTTTTTATACCACTAAATGACAAACATTTATTCCATAACAAAGTAAAAATTAATTGGGGAACCCACACGCAATTCAGTTTTTATTATTATTTCGTCTTAAAAATTCAAGTTTAAAACAGTCTAAATAATAAACAGAAAACACCGAGATTATTAAATAAATTTTGTCTAGAACTTATATTTATAATTCATGTGGAAGTTAAAGAATTACTGAAGCATAACACTAAAATCTATTGTAATTTATTATGTGCTATTTTAATAGAAGAATTTACAATTACATAAAGTATAAACCGTAAATACAAAATATCAAAAAGAAAATAATGAGATATTTATTATATTCTATTATATAAGAAAATCTAGAAAATCATGAAGATCTTAGAAATATTATATAAGAAAATCAAAACATATCCATGCTTTGATTTTCTATTTACGATTCACAACTATGATAATAACATTCAACTTAATTGATTATTTGATTTTATTAATGAAAATCAATTAATAATTTGTCCGTTTTATTGCAAGCCACACAAATAATATTCTTTTCTCAATGCAGTAAAATTTGTATTATAAATTATTATCTTTTTTACAACTTTTCCAAAAAACTTTTGAAAAAAAGGGCTCATTAATTTCACTCTGTCCATTCGTCCGTCAATCCGTCCATTCTTGAAGATAGAAAGTGGAAATTTTATATTATATACATAGATCTTTACTAGAAACTTATTTACATAGAAGATAACTTTTTGTATCTCCCCCTCTCTAAAAGTACAAGCCCCTCAAAATCCTAAAAATGCCAATTTGTAACTATTTATTGCATAAGCATTTTTCAAATTTTGCAAACACAGAAAAGCAGTGGATTTTTTCTTCTAACAGCGTGGAAGAAAAACGGTATCAAAGTTGTTAGATATTTATTAATAGTTCTTTAGCAGCTCTTAAATATTTATAAATAGTTCATTTCGTTAGAAGAAAACTTTTTTAAACCTCCACCAAGTTATCACCTCTCGAAATTTGTAAAATTTGAATTTTTGGCATCATATATTTCCGAAACT